GAGATTTGATGGCCTTTTCCTGGATTGTGGATCGAGATTCCGAGTCAAAGGTAGTTCGCGCCCATTGAGCGTTCGCTAGACCAACTGACTGCCACGCAAGCGACAGAATATTAAGGGGTACAGCGCTGCGGTGATTGTCCACGTCTGTTCTCCCATACTTCTCCGTGAGCTTCTCAAGTTCTTCCGCCAGCTTGTATGCCTTTTCCACCGCCTCCCTTCCTCCATAACGACAAAGCGCCGCAATACATGCCGAAATAGTCTCGAGCGTAGTCGCATTGCTATCAAGAGCAGGCTCGTCGTGACCCGTCTTCTCGACTCTCGCTTTGCCCTTTTTGACCAGTTCAAACCAAGAATCAAACGACATGAAAGCCAAATCAAACTCGGCCAGCGCAAGATGAACGGTAAACAAGTGCCGTAAAATCGAAGTCGAGTGATATGTCTTTGTCGCCGCTCCGTAAAGCATCTCCAGCGTGCCCCTGCTCAACGCATCCCTTCCGCCGGTGCCCAAGTCATGCTCTTTCCATCCTCTCCCGTTCAATATCGCCCAGTTTCGCATAGCCGTATTGACAAACCGTTCCACCTCAGCTCTCAGCTCATCAGCCTTGGGGAATTTGGTCTCGCTGTACAGCAATCCCTGGTAAATAATCTCAACCTTCTTCAGCTCAGCCCTCAGCTGCGCCCTTGCGCTGGTCTCGCCGTTGACTATCGCAGCATTCCCAGTCGGATAGGGTAAGTCCCTCTGCAAAATCTCCGACAAGGCTTGGTAATACTCGGACCACACCTGCCTTCTAGGCACCGACCCGCGAAAACCATACCCACCCACAACAGACTGCGCTGCCGTGTTCTTGCTCCCAGCCCAGTATTTGGCCCACGTGCGGAAACCAGAGAGACAGTCCTCCTGTTGTAATGACTTCTCCCCTTGTTTCGTCGCCGTGCTAGCAAGCATGCAGTATTCCGTCAGGAACAACTCAGCCCAATACCGGGTTTGTGGTCTTGTAGGGCCGGCAGTCCAGACACTGCTAAGGCTGGGAAGAGCAACTTCGAAGGCTTCCAGGGCGCCGGCCCGTTCGTGTTGCCGCGCAAGACAGTTTGCTCGTAGGTAGGCGGCTTTGAGGGCGCATACTTTGGTCCATTCTGATAAATTGTGAGCCTCGTCGGCGTGGTCGGGGTATTCGGCTTCGAAGGTTCGGGGGAGACGCTCAAGGGCAAGGGAGTATTCGCGTAGGACCCAGTGTAACCAGCCGACACAGACGCGGGCTTGGTAGAGGTCTTCGGGGTGGAGGGTTTCGGTTTCTATGAGGGTGAGGAGGGTTGGGAGGTGAGTGGCGGCTTCGAGGGAGGATGCGGCGGCGTCGGTGGCTTCAGCGGTGGAAGGTTGTTTTACTGAAGCTTTGGTGATGGAGTGTTCTGTTGCTGCTGTTTGGGCGAGGCCTGGGGAAAGGGTGAATAAGGGGGTCAGGGGAAAGGGTGATTTTTGGGCGTACATGTTCGCTCGGGAGCATGCTTTCGCACTTTTCGAATCAATTCAGGGACGGCATCCCAGTTATCGTCGCAACGGGCTTCGTTGAGCTGTTGGATGTAGTTGGCAGCTTTTACGGGGTCGGGCTGGGGGAACGGGGTCAGTTTTCAGGGTATTTTGACATGAGATTCATCACATACCATGTTGAAGGAAATGCAAGCCGACTCGCACTACGATGACTTGTAGTAGCAAAGCATGCGGAAGAAAGTAAACGGGAGAATCGAATTCAGGGTCCAACCAAAGAGTTCATGAAGATGGGGGAAAAGAAAGGCTAATGAAGCCAATAACCTGTTACTCCAAATCTCCGGGGAATGATGATGTCGGGACTCGGGCCCGCCTCTCTGCGCTGTTCTGGCGCTGTTCAGGTACAGGAATAGCACCCAACGGCGCACAGGGATTGGCTGGTTTAGGGGGACAGGGGTTTGAGATGCCGCAAAAGTGGGTTTCTGCAGCGTCGAGTTTAATATCTTGGCAAAAGCCGATAAGATATCGATTTAACTTTTTTTTAATTTTGTCTTTTTGCAGTGGTGATTTTGAGGATTAAATTTAACAAGATTTCAATCTGAAACTGCCAATTGCATTCGGGGGTAAATCTCACATGCTCTTGAGACCAATTTATAGTCGGATTGGATATATTTGAGAGTTTTTCATAAAATCTGTTCATTCAGCGTCTCCAACTCGAATAAACAAGCATACATCAGACGATGGCCGCAGCAGCACCACCCGATTTGAGGGTGCTTTGTCGACGACTTACTTCAACACCAGTCGATGATCTCCCCCGACTTTGCCCACTTCTCGTCAACCATGTTAAACAATGTGGCGCACCATTATCAGCTTCAGCAGATGCAGCAAAAGGAAAGGGCAAGACATCCGAGGTTCCAGTTCTCGTTCACAAGTTGAGAACACACATCACCACTTTATTGACTGGAAAGAGCCCATCTGGACGATTCGCCGCGGTATGCCTGGTCAAGGCTGTTGTTGATGTTGGAGGATGGGAGAGTCTCAGACAGGCTGAGCCATGGATCAGGGGACTCATTGCCATTGTTCAGAAGAATGACCCTTTCGCAAGCAAGGAGCTGGCCATCATTACTCTCACCAAGATCTACATGCTCCTTCAGGGTTACCAGACATTGATTAGAGAGATGGCAACCCCGACACTCCCAAGTTTCGTCACGGCCTGCCTCCAACTTATCAAGCCATCAGCATCAGGAGAACCACTCAAAACACCGACATCAATCATCGAAACCGTTGCTTCATCCCTCTCAAAGCTGGTAGTCCTCTACCCAACAACCCTCAGGCCCTTTGCAACCCAAACAAGGACAGCACTCAGGGCCTACATCGCCCCGACTTCATCCGACTCCCAGATTGTTCCGGAAACCCTCAGCGAGAGCTCCCGTCAACTCTTCATCCTTCTCTCCTATACAGCCCCCAAAAATGGCAGCAGCGACGAATGGGCCAAATCGATCAAGGCCGCCATTCTCGACTCTCAATCCACCGCAGACCAAATCTTCCGCGGTGTCATTGAATCCTGGGAATCCACCACAGGCTACACGCCCCAGCAAGCCCGCACCGACGGTCTCCCCAACGGAGGTGGTGATTCCCCAGACGAATTCCCCGCTTGGTCGGGAATCCAAGCCGGCTCTGAGCGTCTATCCGGTCTCTTGGATTTCCTCTACTCCTACCTCGACAACCCCACAAAAGCCCCCGTCTCTGTTCCCCTTGGCGAGCTTTTAGACCTCACCTCCCGTCTAACTCTGGTCACTCCTCCCTCCCCTTCCTCTCCAGAAGACTCAATCCAAACCAATCCCGCCATCAGCCGAGATGAAAAATACGAACTCTGGACCTCCCTCCCTTCAATCCACTCATCAGTCCTCCGTCTTCACACCTCCATTCTACGCCGTCTATCAGACTCTGCCATCCCCTTGGCAACAGACATAATCGATCAAACCATCCGCGTCTTCACTCCATCCCCTTCAATCCGCGAGACAGTTTATACTCTATTCGAACCTCTCCTCCTGCTCACCGGTCCTACCTTGCCCCGCTTAACAGTCGACTCACTCAACTCTCTGATCCAATCAGTATGCCACGACATTCTTCTCTCAACCGGACACATCACTTCCTCCGAATCATCCACACAAACCAACAACGCAGACGCATTCCTATCTAAACCACCATCCTCCGAGACACAACCAACTTCACTCTTTCCTCCTCTCCCTCTCTCCCACCTCAAAGCAGCTCAAACCCTTCTCCCCCTTTTGCTCTCTCACCTCCCCCAATCCCACCTCTCCCCAGAACTTCGCGGTCTCCTAGACAGAACCGCTATCCTCTCAAATTCCAAACAAGCAATGCTAGCCAGCTGTCTTCATCCATACAAAGACAGCAGAGGGAGGTATTATCCTTCTATCCTTCCATTTTTGATTCGACAATACGGAAAGGATAAAGATGTCGAACTTGTTCGTTCAAACCTTGTTAAAGTTCAGCAGAAACAAATAGGGGAGGATTGGGATGCTAGTGAGGGGCTTCAGCAGCTTCTTCTCAACGGGTCAAAGAAAGAGGACGAAGAAATGGCTGTTGTTAAAGAGGAAGCAGTTGTAGTGGAGGAGAAGAAGAAGGTTACGAGTGGTTGGGGGGATGTTAAACCTGCTGAAGAAGAAAAAATGGAAGTTGATAGTGAGCCAGTAAATGCGTTTGCTGTTACCGTTACGAAGGAAGAAGAGAAAAGGGAGGCGACGCCCAGGGAGACAAGAGCAGCAGCGGCATTAAAGAGGAAGAGCGAGACGTTTGAGGCGGACGCAAAGAAGCCTGCTGCCAAGAGGGTTGCTACAAAGAAGATTGTCGAGAAAAAGGTTGAAGTTGCCAAAATTGAGGAAAAGAAGGATGCGGATGAGGATGATAGTGATAGTGAGGGAAGTGTACAGATTGATATGTCGTTGGATGATAGCGAGGATGAGGAAGAGGAAGACGAGGAGTAAGAGATATCAATTATAATGTACGGAGATTTGTCTTGATGGCCATGATATATCACGACATAAATCAGAGCAGCATTACCGATAGTCTCAAGTTTGATGTGTCTGTTTCCCATTTGCTTTTTCCAGTGATATCTCCTGAAAGAAGGGTTGTTACACGCTGACATCAGGACATTGTCAAGAAATCTAACATGCAAGTTGTACAACCTCAGCCTGGGTGAATATCAGGGGTTCTTTGGAGTTGCTGGCTTCCAAGCCACAAGTTCCCTCAGGGTTACCTTGGTTCCCGCCGGGCCGTTGCCGTTGCCCTCAAGATTACGCAGAGCAGCGATGAGAGTATGTAGTGAGACGTATCAAAGAACAGTTCCATCACAACCATCAGTTTCCAAAGAGGACTCCTCGTCATCCACCCATCAAGCCACAAAACTCACCACAACCACTCTTCCACCACCAACTCAGTGCCCCAGGACTATTTTATTCCAATTTCTGACTCTAAAATCCAACCAAATTTGACAGTCCCCGTAGCGTAGTGGTCAGCGTTTGTCAGCTTTATCTCCAGCGTATATATTTATCCAGCGATTTGATTCAAGGCAGTGAAAGACGTCGGTTCGAATCCGACCGGGGACACAACACTTTTTTTATTCATTTTTATTTTAGTTTATCTTTTTAAGAACTTTTTTTTTAACTTTAGTTTTATTATTATATGTATACTTATTTAAGTCCTGCCGGTAAGGCAAAAGACGGAAAGTATTATATATATCATCAGCCGTTCGTGGTTTGCTGCTGTGCTGAAGCCATTGCCAAAAAAGATAGACATAATCTGAATCATCAACCACGACCCTACATAGAGGCAGAAATTCTAGATGAGCCGTATTAGCTTTCGAGCCCGTGAGAACGACCGCCATCAGATAATGACCGCGTAGGCAGCAGACTGAGCGGGAAAAAACCCCCCTGAACTTATTTAGACGGCAGGAACGTAAAAGAGTTGTTGGTTCAAGGATTTCCAGATTCGGTAGGGGGAGAAGGTCGGCAGTCTGGGTTGGGGTTCTTCAAGTTTCCATAACACTTGAACCACACTTACCGCTCTCGGAATGATTGGTCAACCCGAAAAGTCCCAAATCATCCAAATTTCACCCTTCCCCAGACATAATCTACAATTTAAAAAGTCTCAAAGATTCTTTCGGCTCTTCAAAGCAATTGTTCCTTCCTTTGGATCTTGAAATGGAACTCCCCAAGAAGTAAGTTGATAAGTGGTTAAAAGTGGATCAACATTGCGGAGACTAGTCCTATTCAAGTTAGCCTGTTTATGTGAAAAGCTGTTTGGGGTCACTCGGTGGAATTCCCGGGAGGACCTCTTTCTCTCATTAGACATTTTGTGGCACGGAAACTGCTTTTTACAACTAAAGTTTTTAGGACCTTTTGTAGATTTTCAAAATCCCAGAATTCTCTTCCCACAACCTGGAAGATATTAAAGAAGAAGAAAAAATGCGTCAAACTCTACGACGATCTTGTAATGAATGCGCCAAGGCAAAACAGAAATGCGACCTCCAGACCCCGCGTTGCTCTCGTTGCACCAAACGCAGCAACTCAAAGTGCAACTATGCAAATGAGCCCTTGACATTGCCTTCTGTTGGATCCTCTCTCGACCCATTCGATTCATATCCCCCAACAAGACTCCCCCGAGATCGTGTCCAAAGACTCATCCACAGCTTTCTCAACAAGATTGCATTCCAATACTACCCCTTAGATCTCAACAAAACTTCAAACCCTTTTCTCGTCTCTTGGTGGCCGCTTGCGCTTGGGGATCCAGTCTTATTTCATGTCTCGCTGCAGACTGCATGTTTGGACGATGAGTTGCTCGCGCAAAAGGGGTTTCAGACTTCAGAGATTCTGATGGCGGATTCGGTTGCTTTGCTTCGACGCAAGGTTGAGAATCCGATAATGGCTATTCAGGATGGCACGTTGAATTCTGTTATTACTTTGGCTACTATTGAGTATGGAAAGGGAAACTTTGAGATTAGCAAGATGCATGTGGATGGGGTTAAGAAGTTGGTTGATATGAGAGGTGGGATTAATTCTGTGAGGCAGACGAGTCCTTTGACGGGGAGGATGGTTAGTTGGTAAGTTGTTTTTATATTGACTTTGTATTCCAAAAGACTGACGAAATTTGGATATTAGGGTAACGATGCTGGTTAACGGTCATCCTCAATTCCAGACACAGGATGATACCGGAATTGGGGATGGTATACCTCCGATTCCAGAATGGCAACTAAAGTGGAATGATTTTGATCATGATCTTTACGAGATTGGCGACATGGGAATTGATTACGCAGTCAAAAACGTTTTCATCCGTCTTCGTACTGTTTTCCAACGAGCAAAACGAATACCATTCCCAACCACAAATTGTCTTCACGATCTCACCTGTTTCGTCGTACATCGACTTTTACTCTCAGCTCCAAATCCTGAAACCACAAAACTATCATCCATAACCGAGTGTATCCGCTATGGAATCATTTTGTATATGCTCATATCCCAAGGGCCAACTTACTACTCTCACGCAGTGTTTATGGAGTCAATCACAGCCCGATTCATCCATCATCTTGAGCATTTCGAGTCAACAGGACGTCAATTTGACTCACTCGATGTTTGGCTGGTTTCCGTTGGGATGGTAGCCTCTACCGGGACGTCTCGATACTCTTTGTTTATGGACGGAGCACGTTTTCTTGCTACTTCGCTGCAGTTGAGAAGCTGGGAGGATATTTTTGTCCATATCAAGAGGGTTTTATGGTTGGAGTTGGAAGGTGGTGAGGATCACTTTCGGTCTTATTGGGATACGGTGCTTGGTATGGGGGACCCTTCAACGCCGCCGCTTTCGGAGTGTTCTTCTCCGGTTGTTGAGGGGAATAGTATTGCGGCGGGGTTTTTGCTGAATTTGATGGCGCCGGGGAGACCGGTTTCTGTTAGTTCTAATTATCAGAGGAGGCAGAGTATTTTGGTGGGGCCGGAGACGTGAAGTCGAGGGAGGATTGATGAAGAAAAGGACACCAGCAATAATCACCCGGCCGAGCAGTTACAATTCTGGGCTGTATGGCAGACAAAGTTCTTAAGGATATGGTTAATGTGGGTGATTTCATGACAAGCAAATGTGACATCTGCTGACAGCTGTGAGAGACTAGAAATCAGGGTGTTCGACCAAGAGGTTACCTCCTTCCCTGTAAACACCCCTTTATATATCAGGTCCAGCGAGTACCTTCCACCAGCCCCCAGACACCCCCATTGCCCCCTGAGGGGAGGTCCCCCGTTCGATTCCTGGACGGGGGAATAAAAAGTAAACCCATTCGGTTGGGTTTCGTACCCGGGGAGCTTTTGCCATTTTGGAAGTCGGTTTTCTTTCTTCTTTCGGTGCAGATTATGCAGTCCCGAACCGTGAGAATTGAAGCAGAGCACATACGAGGTCAAATAAAAACAAATGAATTCCGAGAAGAACGATGATATCCCCAAACTCCAGATTCCCTCCTTCCAATTAAACCAATCTGTAATAACCCAAAATATTTCCTTTTAAGCCAACAAAACCACACTCAACCCAACAGCAACCCATAACAAACCCCAACTCCCTCTTATCCTTTCTCCTCCTCCATTATCCCACAACAAAACTGGTTTCCCAACCTCTTCCACACCCGTCCCATCAATCCCACAAACAGCTCCACAAATCCCTCCTTCATTTTTTTCCTTCTTTGCTTTACTTGTCATCTTTATTTTTCCTCCTTCTGCCTCCGTACTATTATAAACAATCTCAATCCACTTCACTTGTAGTTCGGCTTGTCCCCCCACACTCATATTTCCCGTCCATTCACCCCCATCGCTCCATGCATTCAAAATAATATTACTTTCATCTCTAGGCACCTGAAATGATATTTGCGCAACGAGTATATCATTCACGTACCATGCTGTATATTCTGGCGTCCAATCTAATCTATGGATTAACCAATCTGACCATTTGAGTCCATTAGGTAGGGTACTATTTCTCGTTGCACGGGATTCGACTTCTCCGTCTTTTGTTAAAGAAGGTTGATTGGTATAGTGTATGAGAGATTCTGGATCAGATGTTCGGATTTCCAAATCTGATTCTTGAACTTGACTGGGATCAGAACTATGACGATAGGTGAATAAGGCCGTTATTGCGCCGGGACTTCCTATAGTTCTGGTTAAGGTGCGGATGGAGAGGTATTTGAATTTTGAAGAAGTACTCTCGATTTCTGCCGAGGTTTGGAAGGTTTCTAAACGGGCGGTTCGGAGGGATAAGTAAGAGGGGCTGAGAAAAATGTTGTTGGGGGAGTTGGTCATGTTTATTGTTGCGTCGGAACGTTGGGAGGCTGCGTTGTTCCAGTTGGATAGCATCCAAAAGTCTGAGAATGGGGGGGTTGAGAAGTAGGGGGAGGTGGGGGTTGCGGAGGGGGAGAGGGAGTAGGAGTTTAGGAGGGGTGGTGGGGGGGATGAGGGGAGGGAACGGAAGTCGAAGAAGCGGTGGTCGGTGAAGAAGAGGGGGGGAGGGGGGGTGGTTGAGTTCGAGTTGGAGGGGTGAGGGGAGGGGGAGGGGGGTTGGAGGAGGTAGCAGCCGCAGGAGGAGTCGGGGACTTGTTTTGTGTGGGAGAGGTTGGGGGAGAGGAGGAGGAGGAGGGTGAGGGATAGGGAGGTTAGGGTCCTCATGTTGAGTTGTTGGTGAGGTTTGGGTGATGGGTTGGTTTTCGTCACATGTGAAATGTTGATATCTAGAGGTGGCTTGGTGGTAGGAGCCAAGAAGTATCAAGAGAAAAAGAAGAGGAGAATAAGTGACGGCATGTGGCAAATGGGCTTGGGATATATAATGTATATCAATTCAGATAAACGAGTGAAAGGTGAACCAGGCAAATGGAACTTCTATCAGAATATTTTTCTTGCTGACCAGGCTTGTTCCTACGGGCCGGCGGGAAGGATATTATCATCATCTCAAATCTATTGGTCAATGGCACCGACGATCCAGACCGACGGGAAACCCCAAATGTTACCTCTACCATAAAAATAGGATGAAATCTGGTGTGTCTTTTTAACCGGATAAACAACAATTACTATATTCTGCCATGCAAGAGGTTTTATGGCAAAATGCTGATCCCTGGGATTCGGTGTCGTCGTGTATAAATGTTTCTGTTTTTCGCGGGGGGAATAACTCTCCTTGGATGCGACTGTAGCTTTTTCCTTCATGAAGATGAGACGGACGGGTTAGTTATAAAACAGGTACGGCTGTCATGTCGGTGAATTTCCTCATTGGCTAACGAAATGGAATATTGGAGAGACCAGGTTAGAGAACACGTATGCTCGAGTTGCGTATGATAATTCTTCTGAGACGAGTCAAAGAAAAGAGATGGTGTGATTGAAGAAATTGAATTGAAGCAATTCCCGGATTTATGGTGATGAGCTGCAGTGAGTGGTGGATCTCGTATATATATATATTTTGGCCGGGAGTAGTAAAGTAATGAGATTCAGATAAATGATAATTTATTTTTCTAGAAAAACCTAAAACCCGATTTTTGATTGTCAGGAAAAAGAGACGTTGATGAGATGAGAAAAGATTAAGCTTTGGTGATCCTTGGCAACGTTGCTTGGCCATGAACTCCAATATAACCTCGTTTAGATGCAAACCAGAGAGAAACTCGCTTATATGCATGCATGAGCAAACCGGAAGTCGCGCCGGTTACGCACCGCGATTGCTTGCAGGCTTGCAGCAACCATTCTCCACCACCGCTTTCAAATAAACCAAAAGCCGATCATCAACCTGCCTGTCGTCATTTTTCTTACTTTTTCCTAATTTTCTCTCTCTCAACGGCACCATATTGGTGAAAAGCCATTCATTTTGTTTCTTTCAATCCACACCATAACCTTTTTGACTTGTCGCGACCATCCAACACAATGTCGACTTCCCCAGAGCCCCAGAAATCGCCCGTTGCGCCAGACCTCAAGGAAGCTGAACCCAAGCTCCAAAAAGAATCATCTTCCGAGCCGACAGAGAACAACGACGCGACCAAAGAAGAACCCGAGCAAGAAGAGGAGGAAAAAGAAACTAATCCCTCCCACGAACCATCACCGTCCGACGACGACTCTTCATCATCCGAAGACGAAGAAGGCGAAATCTCTGAATCAGAACAAGACGACGCTCCGCCATTACCAAACGAGCCTCTTCCCGACTCTGACTCTGCACCTCCACTACCAAACGAAGCACCGCCTCTTCCCTCCGAACCTTTAATTTCCCAACAACAACCAGAAGACGACGGATGGGATTTCCACTGGAACCCAAACGATAATTCCTACTGGTTCTACAATCGTTTCACTCAAATATGGCAAAAAGAAAATCCTCGTCTCCAAACCACTTCCACTACTCTTCCAGTTGCGATTCCATCAAATACCGATATATCAGGTATTTCAGATCCTACATCCCTAGCAGGTGGTTATAATCCCGCTATACACGGTTCATACGACGAGAACGCATGGTATGCAGTAGGTCGCAACGCACCAGAGGTAGCGGCACCAAGTGTTGCAGAGTATGCCACAGCGGCGTTTTTCAATAAAGCTACGGGACAATGGCAGATGCCTGATCAAGGGGCAGAGAGACATAGTGATGAAGCGAAGAGCAGGAGACAATTAAATGCGTTTTTTGATGTGGATGCGGCGGCAAATAGTATGCATGATGGAAAGAGTTTGAAGGCTGAGAGGGCGGGGAAGAAGCCTAGTAGGAAGGAATTGAGGGAGTTTAAGGAGAAAAGGAGACAGAGGAAGGAGGAGAGGAGACGGGCTTGGTTGAAGGATTAGAAGGAAAAGGAAATTTCGGGGAGGAGGGGGCTACAGGAGTTTTAAGAAGTGAAGAGCTGGTGGTGTCATTTTGTGCGTTTCGGGTGTTTTTGATGAGAAGCATTTACAAGGGATAAAATTGTCTGGAGAGATTCATGTGTGTTTTTTTGAGGCGGTGATTTGGTTTTTATACCATCCATTAGAGCAGGAGAATGGCGTTTTTATAAAGAGGCAAGACTGGAGACCTTGGTTCTTGGTTTTTTTTAAAGAGCGGACAGAATATAGTGAGTCCGTTCTGTAAATAGCTGTGGGTTTTATGTATGTAATTGAGGGAAATCGTATGTTTATCATATCTGTTGTGTTCAAATTGTTTTTACTTCTCGTCTCCATTGGTCCATCATCATCTAACAACCACCAACGGGAATTAATACGTGACATAATCAGACGGGTATTCACAATAAGTAATGGCTTGAGAATAACGTTATCTTGTCAGCAGGCCGAGTCTGGATCTCTTTAGCATTGCTCTTCGACTTCCTCACAACTGGTTCCTATGGTGATATGGCTCAACATTTCTGCTTGGGAATGAGGTTGATGACCAGTTCACGTCTCTTTTTCCCGAATGGCTTTGGCACAGCGAGCCATGACAGCTGCTACCATGCGTAACGCTCTTCCGTGGGATTACAAGATTCTCTACCGTCTTTTTATCTGACAACCCGCAAAGAACAAGAGCCACTCCTGATTTATTGAAGGACCCCTCCCTGATTCGGATTTATACATCCTACAATGTCAAGTGGCAGTTCTACTTCTTTGGTCGATTTTGGTCTGATATTTGAAGTCATTTTACTTTTCTCAGCGTTCTATCTCCATAGCTAACTCTATGGAAACCCATGGCTGTTATATAGAGGTATCGCTTTCCGGCGGGATGATTGTCAATTCCATGAGCATGTTCTCGAATACAGCCCCTTTGTGTTTATCAAGTCTTCTTTAGTTTTCCGAAGGTCTTTTTATCTCAAACCAACCTGGAAGTCTATTTCTTGTAAATTCACGAGATCTACCGGTATTTGCCCAACATCAACACACCACCGAGCACAATGGCCCATCATATTTATTGCAGAGCATGGTGATTAGCTCCAGGAGAGAATTTTGAGGACGGATATTATGGCTCTGATCCAAATAAACAAAGGGGTAGTATATACACGAGAACAGATCAGCAAGAAATTCCTCAGAGGGGAATGCTATCAAACGACGACTTTGACACACATTCATTATTGACAGTCATTCCACCAACAAAACAACACTTGCCAGCCATCTGTCTCGGTAAAGTTATCGAGAGAGAAAGAGAGAAGAGAGGAAGACCATATCCACGAGTCATCACCAAGCCACAAACCCACCACAACCAGACTTCAACCCTTCTTTCCAAGCCATGGAGCCAACCCACTTGTTCCCCTCCCCACGACTATTTATTGAACATTTCTGGCTCTTATTTTCAACCAAAACTGACAGTCCCCGTAGCTCAGCGGTCAGCGTTTGTATATGTCTTTATTTCTCAGCGTAATATATTTATCCAGCGATTTGATTTAAAGCAAGCGAAAGACGTCGGTTCGAATCCGACCGGGGACACAATTTCTTTTTTCTTTCTTTTTTCTTTCTTTCTTTTTTCTTTCTTTTTTCTTTCTTTCTTTTTTCTTTCTTTTTTCTTTCTTTCTTTTTTTTTCTCTTTTTTCTTTCTTTCTTTTTTCTTTCTTTCTTTTTTCTTTCTTTCTTTTTTTTCTCTTCTTTTTTCTTTCTTTCTTTTTTTTTTTCTCTTCTTTTTTTCTTTTTTTCTTCTTTTATCACCAGCACTTTATTCTTTATCAATTTTATAACTTTCTTTTTTGTCCTTTTATTTATCTTTTGAGTCCTGCCTGGGAAGGCAATAGGACTTGAATATCAGCAAAAAGACCAAAGACTCGGAGAGAGGCGTTGCCAAGGGGCGAGATCGGGGACATGTACACCATGCCAATGTGATCCCGAGGATGCACAATTATCAAAGCAGCCTTTCTGTTTTCACCGACGGTTTTGATCCTCCGAGGGAAAAAGTTTGGACTATTCTTTCCCCCCCAGTTGGAGTAAAGTTCTGATGCAAAATGGTGATGGACAGAGTGATGATTCAGCCCCTGAAGCATAACTAACAACACGGCAAAGGTAGTGATTAATAATGCTTCCCGCCTGTCATCGCTGCGATGGATACAGTCTGAGATTTGGTAACGATGAGAACACAGAAAATGCCGGTAAAAGAACCAGAAGACCTCGTTTGTAAGAAGAGTTGTTGATAATGCATCGTGAGATGGAGTCTATATTTGTGTATCTTTTTCTTTTGATATATATATATATATATATATATCTATCTGACCAAAATCAGGCTTTTTTTTTCGCTTGCTTGAAACCAATATTCCCTCCTCACCCACTGACCAACGCATTCGTAGCCTGCGCCAACTCAGCTTTCTCCTCAGTGGCATCCCCGTTCTCCTTCACCTTTTTCGGACCATCCCCATTCCTCTGCCCCTGTTCCTCCGCCATCCTCTTCTTCTCCTTCTTATTGGGTTGAATAGCCCCCTTCGCCATAGCCTCACTAGGCAACGGCCTAATAATAGGTTGCACAACCCACCAAGGCCTTCTACACTGTAATATCGCCCCAGCAGAAGTCTCAACCCCACTCTCAATCTTCTCCCTCAACTTCTCATCCCCCTCAGGATCATCAACGCTCTTCCCATCCGTCCTTTCATACTCCAAAATCCCCTCCGCCACTTTCCTCTCAACCATCTGACAAATAACCTCAAACTGCTCAATGTCCTGCGACCTCGCCTTAGCCAGCGCATTCCTCACATCATGATGCCTCGTAACGAAATGCCTCAACATATGAAACATATGTCCCTGAAGAGCCGAATAATTCGGATTCAACTCCGTCCCAGCTTTCCTCTTCGCCGAACCCTCATACTTTTTCTCCTCAAAAACAGGCGACGACCCCTCCTCCAACCAACCCCTATCCATCCCCGGAACAAACAACGGTTTCCTAACCGGAGGTTCCTCATTCCTGACATATCTATACAATATATCAAGATACCTCCTAAAAACCGCATCAACCCTCCAACCACCCTTTCCATCTTTTCCTCTCCAAAACTCTGGACCCTCAAAACCAACCGGCGGATCAGGAGCAAATATCCCCGGATTACTCAAATTCCCCTCAGCAGACATCACCCCATCCGCTCCCGTAGCTTCCAAACACCTCTCAATATCCCCATGTTCCAAAATATTTCCATTCGCAAACAACACCGTCTCAGCCGGCAAATTATCCCTCAAAAAACGAATCATTTCCCAATCAGCCACACCAGTCAAATGACCCTTTTGTTCCCTCCTCCTTCCATGAACAGTCAAGATACTAGCCCCCGCAGCCAATACATTCTTTGCATATTTCAACGTCGCCTCTTTTGTTTCTAGAATCCTAATCTTTGCCGTTACCGGTATATCAAGGTTCTCGTGGAGAATATTAATCAACTTGAAAATCAACTCTTGATCCTCTTGTAAAAAAGAACCATAATGTCCCTTTTTAGCTATCCCTTGGGGACACCCAAGGTTTAAATCGACTGCATCACAATATGGAGCTACCATTTTGGCAGCCTTCAATAAATGCTGAGGATCATTTGCGCAAAACTGGACGAAAAGTGGTCGATCAATCTCTGGGTTACCGTCTAACCAAGGTTTTTTTTCTGCGTCTCCCGGTCTCGTAGCTTGGAAATGCTGATCGCGGTATTTTTGCGTTTCGTGGTATAAACGAGCGTGAAACATGGGGGTATATGCTAGGATAGTCTTTCGTTCGGATTCGGGCATGAAGGATCTTGAGAGCATTCGCCATGCCTAAGATGAAATATCAGCTTTCCGCCAGTTCTCTCTCCCAGCCCCAACGAATTGCAATGTTGTGTGAGAAGCGCATACAAATTCCGATTGATCAACCATGGGCGCAAGCATATACTTTGGCGACCCAATACTCTCATAAAACGCCCTTCCATGCAGTTTCTTCCTCGGTGCCACCACCCCCATTGCCGCCTCTGTTTCCAAAGCCATCGTCGTTGTCGTCCTCGCAGTCACCGCGGGGCGGAACCTGGCAATCGATCGGAATAATGCCAGTTTTATTAATCGTCGTCCTAGCGCACGCAAAAAAAAAAAAATCCCCGCGGTGTGGTCGTTGTTGTCGTGCTTTAAAAAATAAATTCCGCCGTTTTTTTGGTTTGTTGTAAATAAAAAAAAGTTTACAGCCTTCCCACAAGGCTGACTTTTTACTCTCCAGTTACTTTTTTTGTTGCAGCTCCACAGTTGCGACCAATGATGCAATCCTGCCAGGGACCCAGGAACAGGGGGTCAAACACAGTGCCACAAAAAAGCTCACACATACCGGAATGAACTGTATGGAATATCTTGCATCTGCATCTCTCACGTCACCCCACACCACACCATATCACGATCCATCTCTGAAATCTCACGATAATAATAATTTCCCACCTCGTATTACAATAATCCTCAAATTACCTCCGTATCAATGTTATTCCTCTGTAATAATTACGATTAATACAGATGTCCACCCCCACGAACACCACAACCCCAACTCTCACGAACCCACCACATCTCTCCCTCGGTTTTCCTCATCCAATCTAGTCAATACAACCTCAATTACTCTATCTCAAGGCACCAAGGCACCAAGCCATCCACACCAACATGCACTGCTGCACAACATCATCATTGCCAACACACCACCACACCCACACCCGAACCAAACCAACCCTATTTTTCCTTCACCGAAACACAAAGAATCAAAACCCACTAACGTTACTAACAAACCCGCACTAACACTCCCTAGTCTGAAATGCAAGTGTGTGCATGACCGTTGAAGAACTCAAACGAAGCAAAAGAAACCACCGGTTCATTCTTGGCTCTGTATCATTCATTCATTGGTGGACATTTCACGATCCCATTCCCACCAACTTTTTCAAGATCCCACTCTAACTTAGACCTCTAGTCAAACAAACCACCACAAAATGTGTAAAAACCTCGTATAATATGTATATATGTTTCTCTCATTTTCTATCAACTTCCCTTGTTTCCCTCGCTTTTCGTTTATTTTTCTTTCCATGCAAGATACATACATACGTCCAACAAAGAGGCAAATATGAAAAAAGAATCAACACTAATAAAAAAAAAAAGAATTCAAGACATCAAACTCGCACCAAAACAGACAGACACAAACACAACACTCATGATGGCCATCTCCCTCTATCGTTTTCCCCCCAGAATTTCCTCCCCCTTCTCCCTTGAACCCCCCATCGCCCGCTCCCCCAAACAAGACAAAAGCAACATGACATCCGTAAAAATCAACAAGTTTTGAATACTGCATGTTTGTGTGTTATAATAAAAATGCCCCAAAAAGAACCCACTGACTAATAAAAACAACAACCAAATCGCTATCACAAGCAGCAGTATTGTTGTTTTTGTTTTGTCCCGGTTGCCTTGTGTATATGTTTGCATGCGCATGTTTTGCAACCATTTTCCTTCCCGACTTTTCCCTTCTCGTGTTTACACCTTGGCTGTATTTCTCTCCTCCTCGTCTTAGCGTCTCTCTTTATACCCATTCGAATTCGTGCCTTCTTCTCTACTCTTCTTCCACCCCAAGTGACAAGCAAAACCTCCACCATCCAACCCGTAATTACAATGGCAAAAGCCATCACTCCAACAAGAACCAAACCCCCAAGCCTCGTACTCAACCTTGTATTACTCATAATCGTTCCAGTTGTCCTTCGATTTGATAATAGAGCGAGTCCCTTCTGAGTGAAAAGAAAATAAAAAAGAATAAAAAGAAATGAGAGGGCCGACCCGGCCGCTCTTCCGTAATTAAATTTCGCTGTGCTGCTGTGCCGTATTTCTAGACGCAAAAACAAAGTGTGTAACAGATCAATGTATGAAAGAAAGGAAAAGAAAAGAAAACGCCATGACACCTTACTATGCTGTCCCTAAACGCCGTAGAAAAGCAAATACATGACGGGGTCTCGAGGCCCCTTTAGGAAACGGTAACGAGCTGAGAGATGTAAACTTGTGTGATACCATGTTTGGATCATCAGAAGAAGTGTGTGTAAATCTTGGAGTTCTCATGGACCTCCATCTCCTATTGACGCATCGTTAGCTTCATGACCGAGGGAAAGCATTATTATATGACGATATCCTTACCATCTTGAAGGTGTTCAGCTCCTCCTTGATTTGCTGAGCCAGCATTGGGGTCAACCTGTTGCAAGTCGCTATCTCGCCGCGACGGTCGTACTCCTGACTGGGCCATGTCTCAAAGGTAATAATTCTTGGGCTAAAGGTGGCGTTGCGCTTGAGGCTTCCCTGGGGAGTAGAGGGGGCACTCTTAGTGTCCTGTCTAAGGCGAAGGGCAGAAACAAAGTAGTCCTCGCTACCAATAGTGACGGTTCCGGTGCGTCTGTGGCCCTGTTTCTCGTCGTTGGGTGTGCTGGGAGCGCTAGAGTTAGGTGAGTCACTGACGTGAGGGATGCCTGGCAATTCAAAGGCGGCCTTGTTGTCTGAGCCTCGTGGAG